TCTTTTTTTTTCTTCTCTTAATCTCTCTCTTGGATTTTTTTTTCCACTGGAATTCTATTTTCCACCAATGGTCAACGAGAGTTTCTACATATTTTCTTTCTCTCCTTCGATTTCTCTCGATCACTCTCCCTCTCTCTCTCTGTTCAGCAGTATAAATAGCCGATCGTATCCAGCAAAAAGCAATCATTTCGATTATCGTCGCTATATTGTTTCCAGCAATATTCTTCTTATTAAGGTAAGTACTCGAAAGTTCTTTCTAATCACTTCTCCAGTTTATAGTTTTTGACTTTATAATTTTGTTGTCTATACTTAACATCAAAAGATATGCCGTTGTAGTTTATCCTGAGAGAATCAACTAATTGTGTCATAAAATCTCTCTATTGTTTAAAGAAAGATTTTACAAATCAAAATATACCTTATTATGTTTCTCCTTTTTGGATCTTAAATAGATATGCCATTTCATGAGATCTTTAAATGAGATTCAAACCGGTCAAGGCATTCTCTTACAGATTAAATATTTTCCCCAGAACCTCCCATTAAAAATCTCTTTTAAGTTTGTAACATTGAAGAGAAATCTTGTTTTGGATTTTTCTCGAAAAAAATCCGAACTCATAAAGTCATTTGAAAATTCCCTTGAGAAACCATGAAACCTGTCATGACAATCCTCTTAAGCAATGTCCGAAACACGTAGTAAGTATTGCTTCGTTTCTTCAGAAATCTAATTCTTTACACACACTTTCAATGGAACTCATTCGCGATGTCTACTATTCTCTTTTTTGTTGTTCCATTCAAAAAATCAAAAAACGAACAGAAGTGGTTAATTTAAAAAATTTTTCAAAGCATAGTTGCAAATTACTTCACATTTAAATTTTCACTAAAAACTGTTAGTCTTTTGAAATTTGATCGATATACCATTAATAAAATTCCGAATTTACCTGATAAGTGACCATTAAGCAAGGTTCGAATCGCGTCGGAAGTATACCTTGGTTTCTGCCAAAATTAAAACAAAAATTATTCATATCCTCTAATCTTGTAATAGATTTATAGAATTATTACGATTTTCTTAACTTGTTCAAAAATTTTGGAAAGTTTGGATATATGTAATAATAGAATTCTAAAGATACCTGACGAGTCCCTTGAGAAAGGACGAAACTAGTCGTGTCGATCCTCAGAATTCTTTTAATTTTCTATTCCTATATATTTATTATTACTTTAAATATTAAGTTGTTATTTTATTACGTTTAAGTCTTAACTTCCTCTTGGATTAGAGTGAGTTCTGATTTATATGTAATTATGGAATTCTGAACATACCTGATGACTCCCTTAAGCAAGGACGAAACGTCGTGTGATGCTTTGAATTTCAACTATATATTTATTATTATTTCAATACTAATACACACCTTATTATTAAGTTTAAGGGATCTCTGCTTTGCTTTACGATAACAAATTAAACGTGGATAATTCTTCCACTTTTCAATTTAATTGTTGAAAATTATGCAGTGCTAAAGCTACCTGATGATTCCCTTGAGAAAGGATGAAACTAGTAGTAGTATTTTCTTATAATATTATACACACCCATATTATATCTTCTAATTGAATCAAAATCTATAATTGTTTTTTTCTAGATATAACTATCGTATTTCATTCTATAACACAAGTTCATTAATTATTTCGCTTATATCGATTGATTGTGTATTACTATCGGAAATACGATGATTTCAAACATTTCAAGTACTCTATTAATCCATGTACCAAAAAACAAAGGAAAACAATGTCATTTATCAAATAAGAGTAAGTGTGCTAAAACTTTCCGAAAACATCCGTTATCTATTGACAACTGGAAAACAATTACACAATGCATGTCAAATTATAAAACGATGTCTATCGAAGAATTTAAATGTCGATTTTTACAAACCATTCCTAATCATCGTACCATTATGGCAGAATTATTAGAAAATCCTGTTATGTTAGATTTGGTTCAAAATCGTGCTGTACTACTCTCTCATTTCGCAGCATTAAAAATTGAAGAAGATTTTTGGAATTATGTCGCTAATGCAGCAATGCCTACTGTAAGATGGCTATCTCAAACATCGAAAGATGTAACAAAACGAAATTTCATTAATTGGGATTATCCACGAACGGAGCGTAATATTCAACATCGACAAATTATAATTAGTAATAAGTTAAAACAAGCACAGACGAATCTCAATGTTCATTTACTAGAAACACTTCCCAGTGAAATACTACACCAGGAACTCTCTGTTCACGAATTGATCAATATCATTCATGATGCTCTTAGTATTCTCGTACAGAAAGATTTTGCTAATTATCTGAGTTACTTTGAACACAAGAAAACTATGTTATACCTTGATATTCATGAAGTTTATCATGTCAAATGTTTCTATGAATGTAATCCAACTGAACCACAGGTGATTATTACTGAGTTTTCATGTTCTTCTTATTCATCCTTAAGCATTGTTCTAGATTCAATATGTTCAAAAGCTTTGGAAAACGACAGTTAAGTCACACCAACGAGCTATTGCTGAGTATAAAAATTCTTTGCGATTCTCTAAACGAATGTCAAAAAACAAAACTGTACAAACAAATACCAGTAAAGTACATATGAACAATGATTCATTGGATTTTAGTACAAATACAATCGATCAACGCATTTCGACCGATGTCATTCCAACTCACCTTAGTCCTATGCGTAATGTTATTGAATCTCGTTTAAGCAATATGAAAAAACGGGCTGAATATATCATTCAAAACTTTCGAAACATCTCTCATTAGTAACGGTGTGTCTTTTTTTTTATTTGTCGGGTATCTATAAGAAACTCATTGTATCAACAATTGCTTCTCATTTCAATATATGCAATTTCTATTAAGAATTAAATTAATTTTTCTCATGCATCTAATGACAAACATACATCCATATATATGTATTATTATCTTCTGTTTTAGATATATCTCTATAATATTTACACTTATCAACTGTCTTGACAAATCATCTATATCTCAAAACCGAATTAAACAACAAATCAAACTTTATAACATACGCATCAATATAGTAATACGTCTGATTATCTGGTAATACAATATATTCGAAAGAAAAAGAAAAGTCAAACAGTTATCAAACATAAAGGATTCATAAAACTTTATTAACAAGTTAAGAGTAAGCGGACAAACAAGCAAATATACAGAGGTAATCAGAAAAAACAGCAGCTTCAACACCAGTATAGATAATACTAACAGATACAAACATATAGTAAAATACCCTTACCATCAATGCTATAAAAGGATATCATAGTAATGAATAGTGATACATTTCATATAGGAATAATGCGTTTCCATAAAACAAAATCTAACAAAATTAAAAGTATTCTTTAAAAAAAAATTACCTATTAGATAATACACAACGATACGATAGGGAATCGATCACTATTATCACAACATACGAGAGATGAAGTTCGCTATTCCGAAAAAAAATTATAATAAAATTTGTCAATTGAGATAAGATTACCACATAGTTATTCACTATAAACATTATTAGCAAAGTATAATCAGCGGAGTTCTCTAGTAAAGTTCAAACAACTCATAAGAATTTCGACTAATTTTAGAATCATCTGTACAATTGCTTGCCACTTGAGTAGATTTCTTAGTAAATTCGAAAAACTTTCAGTTTTCTGGTAACCCTACACACCCACACCACACCCTTGCGTGGCTTTTTGAACATTCTATTACTTATCCATACAAAACACCCTAGTTGTTTTTTTTTTAGTCGGGCTCATATGGTATCTCCTTTCATATATTCTATTGTTAAAGAATGCGACAATAGTTCAATAATTCCGTTTTTTAAAATGTTTGCATTGCAAAACTGAAACTTCTATATTACATATTTTTTATTCTCCAAATGTGAACTAATTTGATCATTGATTGTTTCATGAGTCTGCTTCAATTTTTTTATGATTTTTCTCTTTTTTTTTCTTCATCTAGTTAACATTATTGTCATCTATTATAATAATGCAAACAAACACTGAAACTTCATGGAATCCAGAAGAGGTAATAATAAAACCCTTGATATCTATTGCTAAGAGATTCGTTTCTTTTTTCTTCCGATTATAGGATGAAGCTTTAAGAGATTACGAAAAAATACCTATTGATCTTCCATGGAATCAAAAGCATCCAACAAAATCGTCAACAGAAAGTGAAGTAAATATCGCTTAGAAAAAAAAATTTTTTTCACGTATACTACTTGATTATCTATTTAATTATGTTTCAGCTAATGGAAATAGAAAATTTATCACAAAAAATGGGGCAATTGTCTATTACGCCGACCGAGAAAAAAGAACCGTTGATGAAAGATATGAGAGTTGAAATTGAAAAAATTCCGCATTATCTTACAAAACGAAACAAATCTTTCCTGGAAATCATACATCAAGTTTTATCAAAAATGGAAAAGACACCAACAACAAACAAATCAGATGAATATAATGATAGAATAGATGAATTAAGAAGAATAACTATTCTCATTTATAAAATAATGGTTATACAACCTTATCAAGTATTGTGGGAAACTTATCTAAAATCAGGTATGGGACAATTAGTTGTACCATGGAAAACACAAACACCCGGTTCCATTAATATACGAATATGGCCAAAAGCAATTAAAACAATGTTAGGATCAGCAAATACGGATAAAGCGAACGAAAATGATCTATATTTAAAATTTGTTCATCAACAGTTGGATGCGTTAGATAACCAATTAAAAGACTGTCAAAGACAATTGGATACCAGAGCAAATAACATGACGGGTTATTCATTATCTATCCAAAAAATGATTGAATTATATATTGAAAAAAATCTTCATTTTTCACGTATTGAAATCGAGCATAAAGTGGAACTTGTGCATTATCAATATTATATTCGAGCATTAAAATTAGCATATTTGCGATTGAATCCAAATAAATATCAAGTAGTTTGCTTCTTTTCTATCGAACAAATGTTGCCTAATATTTTTCTTGTATTTGTAGGAACGTTTTATGAGAGAAATCTGTGAAATTAAACATGCACAAGAAACAACTCAACAAGAATATGATTTTCTACAAAAACAAATTGCTTATTATAGTTCACCAAGTCAATCGTTTGACGCCTCACTAATAGGTTCTTCGTCAATAATTGATTCTGTAGACGATGAATATCTTCGAAAAGAATTATTTGGAAAATATAAAGATATAGCTGAACAATATAGAACCACTTTATTCAATATGTATCTGAAATCAGCTGAAGAACAACGAAAAGAATATAAAAAAAAACTCGATGATTGCGTACAACAGATGTATTCATCTCAAAATGCATTGAACGAAAATCAACGACTAACTTCCATCATGGTTCAACTTATTACCCAACGTTGCGATAGAATTAGTGAACATATTAAATGTGTGTATGAATTTAAAGCTCAATCTATGGCATCAAAATCTTCACTTTAGTTTGTTAGTTGAATATTTCGTACTACTTAGGTGTTTTTTTTTGTCTTCATTTCATTTATAGCACTTTCAAAACATTTCTTTTGTTTTTCTTCTTCATTTTATCCGTATGCTTTTTCTCTTTCAGATAAATTGATCATCTACTATAAATATCTACAGACAGATTTTCCTAGCAATGAATGTGAACAATAACAATACAGAAAATAATGTTGCAATTCAGAATAATCAACTACAAAAGAAAAAATGCCATGGTAATCGAAAAGATCAACGTTTTAGAAAGAAGTGTCGTGTACGAGGCATAAAACCAGAAAAAATCGAAAAAAAACTTGCTCGACGAAAAGAAATCCAACAGAAGAAGAATGCCACTAAGCGCAATGTTAAACCAAAAAAAAATTTGCTAATAAAAGTGTCCACATCAAAAGATATTTCGAAACAATCGACAACAACTATGACGACGACGACAACAGTGACAAATTTTAATAAACGTAAACGAGATATATCTTCACAGGATTTGAATAGAAACCAATCGATAGGAAACACATCAACTTCAGCGTCAATAGCAAAACCATTAGTGAAAAAAACGAAGAAACATCAAAACAAAATAATGGTTGATTCATCCATCGTTTTAAACAATACCAATCCAATGAATAAGAATTATCGGTTCGTTATCATATAAGTCAATCGTTAATATAGGAAAGTGACTCTCTTTTTTTTTCATTCCCTTATAGACGACCATTGTATTTGACACAATCATCATATAAACTTTTTCAAATAATAAGTAAAAGATTAAATTATTCACTGAAGAAAAAAGATGAACAAGAATTTATATATAAACGATTAAGTTTATTTGATCAACAATATTATTTGGAAAATGAACAACATTTATGGCAATCATATTTCGACATTGGTTTACAACAGCATGTCTGGCCAGTAATGTTTCCTCATTTAATAAAAAATTCTTGTCATTCTAATAATTTTGTTTGTTTGTTTGTTTTCTTTTTGAAATTCTAGGAAGAACTGTTTAAAATGGCTAATACGACAAATGATACGAAATTATGTCACGATTTTCTTATGACCTACGTTGAAAATTTAAAAGAACAACTGAACAAATGTCAATTACACTTAAATGAACAATCTCCATTATGTTCAATTACAAAATTCACTTTAGATCAAATTGATCAATGTTTGAAAGAATATGTTCATAGTGAAAGAAATTATCTATCCAAGAGACAAAAAGATCAATTAATAAAATTTAAAGATTATATTCATGAAAAAGATCTATATAAAACAATTACTTCTTATCAATTCAATATAAATTTGGTAAGAGGATAACATAAGTTTAAGAAACAAAACAAGAAATTATTCTTCTTATATATATCCTTTTTCTTTTCGTTTCTTTAGAATGAATATTCAAATAAATTAACAACAATCAGAGAACAACAAGCGGCAATTTGGAAAGATTATCTTATGTTAGAAATGCGAATTCAATGTAAAATTTTACCAAAACATTTCGATTATTTAGAAAATTTTCTTGGTTGCATCAATTATTTACCATTCAACGATACTCAAAATAGGATTGAAATAAAAAATAAACGTTTTAAACTTATTCAAGAAGCAAAACGTACTTGGTTATTTATTTTTTTCAGTGTTTATATACATAAACTAGTAAAACGTGAGCAACTTTATGAAAATGAATTCAAACAACTAGAAATACAACTATTAAATAATAAAACTACAAAAGATGGTGTATGTTTTTTAAGCAACATGAGAGAATATATAACTTATCGAACAAATCGATTAAAACAAGATACTACTTATGAAATATCATCCTTTCGAGGTATACTCATAAATAATCGTCAACGTTCATCAACAGCTAAAAATATGATTGGTGTATCACCTGAAACATTTCTTCATCTTCTTGAAAATCCTTTCATAACATTACAATGGAATCAACTTTCCCTTGGTATGGTTTTTCGTTTTTTTTTCATCTTCACATATATATTAGAAGAAAACCATTTTCTTATTGATTTTGTTTGAATTTAGGTCCATCATATATACGATTAAATCAAAGTGGTATTCGTCCAGAGAAACAACAACAAAAACTACTCGAAAAAGAACATAAAAAGATAAATGACATAATCAAATCGAATCTTACGAAGATGCAACATATTCCAGAGAAATCATCCGTTCTTAAAGATTATTCAACAAATCTTCTTAATTATTTACATCATTCGTATTTGACTCCTTTATCATATAAAGATAAACTCGCAGCACAACAACAACAATACATTGCTTCATCAATTCGAAAAGTAATTCGAGAAAAAAATCTAATTATTCGTGTTACGGATAAGGGTCATAATTTTTATATTGGTTCAGCTATTGAATTTGAAAAAAAAGCCCAAAAATTTTTCTCTGATACAAATGCTTTTATAGAATTATCTGAAAATCCATTCAATGATATTGTCAATAAAGTCATACAATTACTTAATCGACTTCGTGGAAAAGATCTTATTCGAAAATGGCAGTATGACAAAATGATGCCTAATCGAGCTAAATGTGAATTAGCTCATTTATATTTTAATCCCAAGACACATAAGGTACTATACATTGGATTCAATTGAAACTAAAAAAATTTTTATATACTTCTTTTTCATATATATGTAGGAAAATATACCTGTTCGACCGATTGAAAATACAATTCATGCTCCAACAACAAATATTTCAAAATTTTTAGATAAAATTTTACAACCTATATTCAATGATAAATGTAAAGAAACAAATATTGTTGATGGCGCTTCTTTAATTGAAGGACTTCATAAATATAAAGAAAAAGGTCTCCTTAAATCATCCACTCTTTTTTGTACATTTGATATTCATAATTTGTATACAATGTTACCACAAGAAGAATCTATTCGAATACTTGGTGAATTTCTAGAAATACATGGATATACAAAAGTCAAAGCAATTGATATTGATACAATAAAACAATTAGCATCCATTGTATTACAAGAAAATGCTTTTGTCTATGATAAAAAAATTTATAAACAAACAACTGGTGGAGCAATGGGTTCATCATTTACATTAACACTAGCGAATATTTTTATGTGGAAATGGCAAAAAGAATTTGTTCGTCAACAGGATATAACAAATGAATTTTATGGAAGGTAAGTGTATAGAAGATATTTGGAAAAAGTAAATTTTACATTCATCACTTCTTAGATATATTGATGATGTTTTTATGACATGGAATAGATCTGAAAAAGAGTTACGAAAATTATTAGAGGATGCTAATAAATGGCATCCAAATATTAAGTTAGATTTTAAAATTAGTCAAAGTCTTCCTTTTCTTGATGTACTTCTTACCAATGATAATGGTATTTTATCAACTTCTGTCTATCATAAACCAGCAGCTGAACCATATGTTACACCATATCTATCTGATCATCCTCGTCATGTCTTTCAAAATATTATACAAAATGCACTTACAAAAGCCGTTCGATATTCATCTACATATCAATTATTTCTGAATGAACAAATTCTTATTAGGTTAAAGTTATTATATAATGGGTAAGTCATAATTATATATACACATACTAGTCATAGGCTATTATCTTTCATAAATCTATCCTATAGGTATCCATCTTCATTTATTGACAAACAATTTTTCAAATTTTTCAACAAATATAAGATATCCACAACACCATTTTTATCGATGTGTACTGATGAAAAACAATTTAAACAAATGCGTCAAATTATTTTAAGAATACCAACATACAAACAGTCACAGGTTGCTTTAAGTGCTGCCACAGCCAACCTTGACAATGATCCTTCCGATGAACCCTTAATGCAAGAAACAAACATAATCAATGATCCAGAGAAAAATGATGCGAAACTCGACAATAAAATAATTATTCACTATACACATGAAAAACGTCTCCATTCTTTTAAACGTGATATGCATCGAATAATGGATCATACATTTGAAAACAAATTAGACAAAGATATTAAACTTATTGTTGGCAATCGAAATCGGCGTGCTGCTGAAAACGAACTCATACGTAAACGGCCTAAACAATCATTATTAAAGAATAGAATTCCAAAAAGTAGGTTTATTTCCTTTATTCAGTTAAATATGTCACCGATTTCTCAAATCTAATATTCTTCTTTACTGCTCTAGAACGAAAGAAAACATCGGAACACAGACCAACCAATGTCAACGCGACAACAACCGACTAAAACAATTGCTTAACAATTATTTCATATCTTCATTATAGAAACTGTTTTTTTTTTTCTTCACATTTCTGTAAACCGTAGAAGCACTAGACATTTCTTTAATAAACATTACAATTACTCATATCTTTTATGAATAGTTATCTTCTACTTTATATTAGCCACACTTTTAATACCTTTTTTTCATCTATTCTAGATACATATAACAAAAACGAATTACATCTATCCAAAATGATACTACTATATATGAATTCTTTATATACTGTCTAAAATATTCAAAAGCACATACAAGTATACTGAATAGGAGAAATTCAAAACGATAGCACAGGTAGGCTGTCATAACCTTCACTTTCATCAATCACTCACCATTGTTCTTCGATTTCAGGAAGTCCATGTGTATTCAAAAGTCCAATGCATTCATCTTCAAACACGAATACAAAAAGCATCTTTGCTACAGAGACCAAAAACAATTCTCAACTTCCCGAAAAATTAAAATAAACCAGTTAACCTTGGTGCAAGGGATTCTCCGTTAAAGTTAACCATAGCTAATATAGAAAGTGGAAACGACCATAAACAATTAGTCCATTGACAAGAAGAATTGGATGAATATTATGACAGGTAAGCTTCAAACAAGAATAATACATTATCCGAACATAATATTTTTTCTATACTAATAAATATTTTTCAATTATTACACAGAAAACTTACGGTTTGAATTATCATTGCCAAACAATACAAATAAAATACTAACGGATACAGAATCAATAGTATGAGACTGTGCAAGCATATTCGGCTTTCCTACAAGAAACCAGAAAACAATACGTATAAATACCTATTACAAATAATCAACGTCTTCACCTGCAGAAAAACTCTCATTCCCAAAACATATGAGTTCATCGGCTGATAAAATAAATCACAACGACAACAAATAAAACTGGAAACTGTAATACAGAAGTCAATATCACAAAAGTATCAATTAAAAAAAAATGAAATCAACCTTTATAATTATTGCCACATACAAAAACCATATCCATCGACAATAAAAATTAAAAAACAAACAAAAAAAACAGATAATCATCAATAATACACTGAGTGAGTCATACGTAATCCTAATTAAACAAAAAAATTTTTAAATCATAAAACTACTAACCAGCTTCCCACTAAAATAGAAAATCGACCATGGTTGCTCTAACACACCACTGTTTAATGAAATTTCTATTACTTTTCTAGTAACAATGAAATTTCTATGCGAATTTGGATTTCACAATTCAGATTATGCTATACCATTTGATAAGACCCTTGAGCAAGGTCGAAATCGATCATGGTTGCTCTAACACACCACTGTTTAATGAAATTTCTATTACTTTTCTAGTAACAATGAAATTTCTATGCGAATTTGGATTTCACAATTCAGATTATGCTATACCATTTGATAAGACCCTTGAGCAAGGTCGAAATCGATCATGGTTGCTCTAACACACCACTGTTTAATGAAATTTCTATTACTTTTATAGTAACAATGAAATTTCTATGCGAATTTGGATTTCACAATTCAGATTATGCTATACCATTTGATAAGACCCTTGAGCAAGGTCGAAATCGATCATGGTTGCTCTAACACACCCACACCCACACCCACACCCCACACCCACACCCACAAAAAGCAAATGAATATCGTGAGAAAACTAAAGCTTATAAAGAATTATCTTCAAATCCATTTGAAATAACATTAAATAAAGTTGTACGATTACTCAATGATCTTCATGTTAAACAACATAAAATTACAGCTTGGCAATATAAACAAATGTGGCCGAATTTGAAAACATGTAAACTAGCCTATATGTATTTCAATCCTAAAACACATAAGGTAATTTTAAAATAGTTATCATTACACTTCAAATATAAAATAATAAATGTATTCAATCTATAGGATGGTACTCCATTTCGACCAATTATGAATACGATTGACTCACCAACTACGAATATTTCACGTCTTTTGGATCAATTAATCCGACCAATATTTAATCAAAAAGTATCACATACAACCATTGTAGATGGTTGGCATCTTATTAAACGACTTCGACAATATGTCAATGATGGACATTTAAAGTCAACTACATTATTTTGTACGTTTGATATTAATAATTTATATACAATGTTACCACAACAACAATCACTTGATATTCTTGTTGAATTTTTTCAAACCTTTCAAATATCAAATATACATAGTATTGATCATCAAACTATTCGTGAATTAGCTCGTATTGTAATCGAAGAAAATGTTTTTGTTTATCGTAACAAATATTATCAACAGATTATTGGTGGTGCTATGGGATCGCCATTTACATTAACTTTAGCAAATATATTTATGTGGAAATGGGAAAAAGAATCGATCTGCAAAATGTTACCATCAACTGAAATTTATGGACGGTAAAATAACTATGGAGATCTGATGATTTTGTACTTTAAGTTCATTTTCTTTTACTTATTCTAGTTATATAGATGATATTTTTATAACATGGAACGATTCACAAGAAAAATTAGAAGCGTTATTAAAAAAATTAAATTCTTATCATCCAAACATAAAATTGGAATATAAAATTGGTACAAGTCTTCCATTTCTTGATGTAACTGTTTCTAACAACAACGGTAATCTGTCAACATCAGTCTATCATAAACCAGCTGCTGAACCATATGTCGTACCCTTTACATCTGACCATCCACGTCATATATTTCGAAATATTATTCGTGCTGCTAAGATACGAGCCATTCGATATTCTTCGACCTTTGAAGCATTTAACACTGAACGACGTAATATACGGTTCATGTTATTATACAACGGGTAAGTTAATTTTATTTTAGAGTATATTAAACTTGTAAAACATTTTCGGTAATTTTAAACTACCTTTAGATATCCTACAAGATATATAGATAAAGAATTTCGAAAATTTTTTGGATCAACATAACATATACGATGCAACAACTTCCATTCTACCTATGCTAGCAAATGAAGGTCCATTTTTCGGTATACATAACGAAATAACACCTACTCCTACACCGAGACAATCACAAGTGGAATTCGATATAGCTTTATCACAACTTCAACGAGATGATAAGGTTCCACCCAAAGGTGTTATACCACACACAATTACTACAAATAAACAAAAAAAGAAGAATGCTAGAAAGGGACTATTTCTACACTTTACATACGAAACAAGATTAAAGTTACTCAAGCAAGATCTCAAAGAAATTTATCAAAATGTCTTCCGAACAACTCCAATAGCTAATATTCAAATTATAGTCGGTAGTCGCAATAATCCTAAATCAAAGACCGAATTCATCAAAAGCAAACGGCCACATCCACGTTATCGTAGACATGATTTCAAACCAAGTAAGCTATTTATAATTTCATATGTAACAGCGTGATAACAAAAACCGAAAAAAATCCTATTTCTTTAGAGACCAAACGTCTACAACAATAGAATGAATCACAATGAACATGAACCAACAAACAGAACTTTCGAATAAACTATCTTCATCTAAAAAAGACTATTGTAGCCATGAATAAAACTGCTTAGAATAGAATTGAAAATCATACCCCATATATAATACTATAACATCGAATAAAACATACATTCAAAAAATTCATTCTAGATATAATACCAAATTTATAAAAACCTTAAAGTTAAATCAGACCACAACTATCATTGAACCACGAGAACCACCGAAAAAAAAACATTTAGGTAAGTAGCACCGGTCGTGGTATGCTCCTTAAATTATACCACAGTTTTCTTTTTGTCTATACTTTGTCAAAAAATTTGCTTTCATACGATAGTATAGATGATAATTTAATTT